CAAAAAGAAAAAAAAAAGACATCACTTTTTATTTTTCTGAATCATTTGCCTACCTGGTCATTTCCACAGCCATTAGAATCCTACTGATTCACAATTCTCTCTGTACACATAATCAGGAGTGAATGGTAAGAAGTGAAACTCGGGTGTGTTTTGAAGTCAGCTTTTGTTGTGTTTTAATCATAGGAACTTATAAAAGGAGCTTCAGATTGAGGAAACATCAATTTGTGATTTATGAGATGACCATAGGAGGAACCCCCTTATTAAAAACGGAATGTAGGACAGGATGGGGTAGGGAGAAAAAGGGTAAAGACGAAGAAAAAAAATACCATCATTGAGTATATATTTAATAAGATAGATGGAACTTGGAAACATTGGCTATATAAGCTTTTATTTACACTTACTTTCACAAGACTTTTTTTTCCAATCAGCATTTTCTTGCTACTTGAAAGACCACAGAGATAGTTTATCCAAAGGCAGTGGGATCTGTAATTCGTTGGCGTTTTAGGGATATTCACATGGTACATACTAATTAACACAGGTTTAAATAGCAGGTCACAATGTTGGCTCATCCTGGTAAGTTCTTAAAAAGCATCTGCGATCTATACAACTCCAGAAGCTCATTCTGGGACCTCTTCAAATGTTTCTGTTCCTACTCTTCCATGCTTGTCCCTAAGAGGCATCTGAAACAAGTCTGTGGTGTTGCTGGCTAAGGAGCAGTGTGTACAGCTCGCATGTGCGGCCTGCACAGCCATCTGGAGTGTCGCTGGGTCCCTGTATGTGTCCTGAGCCAGTCAGTGCTGTAGAGATGAGCAGCTTCACACACGCACTCACTCTGCGTTCCTGTGTACATGATGAACAGCTAAAAGCATCACCCTTGATGACAAGATTAAAGCAAAAAATAAAACATTAAGGTTGTTAAACTTGACGCCTGGACTGTATTTTCCTTCAGCTAGATGACTTCCATTCTAGTGTCTGCTTTGCAGTTGGATGCTGTGTAGTGGAGGAGAGGGTCAGTTCTGCAGTTGGGTTTTTGTGGGGTAGAGGAGAGGGTCAGTTCTGCAGTTGAGGTGCTGTGGGGTGGAGGAGAGGGTCAGCTTGAGCTGTCATCTGGAAAGCAGACAGTTCATAGGCAGGGGATAGGACGTTAACCAGGTGAGAAACCACAGGTCAGAGATGGAGCCCTCCATGCTGCATCGGGAGCAGGAATAACTCAGTTCTGGTTGAGAAGAGATACGGGTGATGCCTATGCCCAGGAGGCGCCGGTCAGCTCAGCTGCTACTCTGGAGGGGAGGTCCCCGTGTTCCTGGGTGGGGTGGAGGGGAGGTCCCTGTGGTTCTAGGTGGGGTGGAGGGGAGGTGCTTGTGGTCCTGGTCCTAGGTGGGGGGAGGTGCCTGTGGACCTGGTCCTGGGTAGGGTGGAGGGGAGGTGCTTGTGGTCCTGGTCCTGGGTGGTTGGAGGGAGACTACTCACGGTCCTGAGGCCCTCTGGAGCCCACCACAAGGCACAACCGTGCCGGCAAGCACCTAGGAGTGGCAAGGTCAGATCTGGCATGGGGGCTGCCCTGGGAAGTTCTCAGACCACCAGTTGTGTTCCCAAACTACTGCATTAGCAGGGCCCTGGAGGGAAGGAAGCAAGCTGAGGGGCTCGTAAGAGGCCACGTTTACAATGAAGACATCCACCTCAGCGGAGTAGAACACTGTGGCTGTGGAGACTGTGGCACAGTCCATGACCTTGCCATGACCTTGGGCAATCTCAGTCCTTTTAACAGCAGTTTGCTCTCAACTTCGGTATCTGGTATCCGACTATGTCTTTTGTGACTGCTATGTAAAGCTCTCCAGCCCTATTGCTAGGCTAAGAATGTGAGCACTTGTAAAGGCTATACAAAAGATTTCCCCCGCTGCAGACGCCCTCCAGCCAAATGTCCACACATATTTCTGGCTCATGTAGTGATTTAGGGCCTTGGTTCAGTGGCTATAAAAGGCCACATGAGCTTTTCGGTGGCACACCACACAGTTCAGAGGAGCTAGAATCTAATAGTTATTCGTGTTTGGCTCAGAATACATGATTTTTCCCCTGTGAAGCAGTTATAGTAAGACAACAAGGACATTATTTGTGACAAGCGAAGTGACACAGCCACAAGAGGTCAAGAGGAGACAGGGCATGGCTACCGCAGCATCACGGCTACTTCTCTATCCCTGAATCCTCTGAGCACAGTGAGGTAGACTTCCTGCAGGACAGGGCGTAGGGCTGCAAACCACTATACAATTTGGGTTTTGATGAGAGGATGAAGGATTTGGAAGCATCTGCCCACCACCACCCAGGTTGTCTTATTTATTGCTCAACTTTTGAAAATGAATTTAGGCTCATGTGAGAAAGAAACTTTTTTTTTTAAACAAATATCATATGCTATTTATTTGGATGGAGTCCTTCAAGGTCTAGTCCTATGTTAACCAAGCGTGAGATAATCAGGAGCTGATGGAGAACTTGATTCTCAATGGGCTGGTCTATGGCTCATAAAAAAAATCCAGAGGAGTTGGTTTCACATAAGAAAGACCAAGTCCGAGGGCCTTAAAGGGTGTCAGAATCCCAAAGATGGCAGCCTGGACTTGCCGCATTCTCCATGTTTACCTGTTCTCTCCTCAGAGCTGGCCTCTTCCTGCAGTAAATGCCTGCTGGACTCCAGGACAAAGGTCTTCATATCCACAAGTGGTTCTGTCACACAGCTCAGGCCAGGCTGCTGCACAACTGGGAGTCCTTAGGACCCAGCCAGGACAGCCGCCATTTAGGTGAAGGCAGGAAGAGCATGAAGAGCGGTTCTGAGGAGGCCCCCAAACCAAACCTCTGATCTACGTAAGCCAGTCCGGGAACCTGTGTCACTGTTTCCCATCGCTGTGAGAAAGTCCTTGAGATAAGGAACTTAAAAGGAGGAAAGGAGTCATTGGCTCACAATTTCAGAGGGTTCAGTGTGTGGTTGTCTGTTTCTGGGCCCCCTGCCCTTCATGATGGAAAAGTATGGTGGAGGAAACTGTCCACCTCATGGCAGCCAGGAAGCAGCGAGGGAGGGCTCAGGTTCCACTATCCTCCTCCAGGCCCCACTTCCAGAAGGTTCCATCACCGCCCAGTAGTGCCACAGGCTGGTGACTTTTTGGCACACAGACCTTTGGGAAGAACATTTACCTTTCCAACCATACCAGGAAGCACAGACCCAAGTCCCATCTCCCTTCCACAGAGCAGGTGCAGCAGAGAGAGCTCTGTACCTACCGATCTATTCATTTCTGTAGAACGGGACCTTCCCGACACTGCGGGAGGGGTGCAGGTACTTCCTGTGAGGAATACGGTTCTCCACTCCCACGACACCCTACTTGGTGTGGGGTTTGTTTGGACCAGGGGAGGTATATGACATGGCATAATATTTCCACTAGCTGTTTTTTTCCCTTTCCTCTGTAAGATCAGAATGTTCTAGACGGGCTGCCTGTCGGCCAGTGCTCTGGAATTAGAAGACACAGGAGCAGGGAACCGACAGCCAGTGGCAAGACACGTGGCTGTTCCCCAGCTTCTAGGACCTGAGAGCTCCTGCCATGTGACCTTCTGGGGGCCATAAATGCGGTGACTGCAGACAAGCACAGCAAGGCAGGCAGCGAGTGTGTAAATTTGCATGGCCAGGGAGGCAGGGAGTGTGCAAATCTGCATGAAGAGGGAGGCAGGGAGTGTGTCAGTCCGTGTAACAGCTGGGCTGCGGGATGGCCTAGCCCGAGAATAGGTTCCAGAATTAAACTCTTCATTTGGCTAACTGCCAGAGGTGGTCACATTAACAACATCAACTTACACCTCCTGGAAGCCAAAGGGAAATGGAGCTAGAAGCAAAAACATGGGACTGAAATGTTCTTCAGAACTGCTTCACAGGACTCCTAAGAAGGCCTCATTTGTTTGGAAGGAGGAATCTTTTCAACTCTGGATATGGTTTTCCTGGCTGTTCCCTGAGGGAAAGTTCTCCTTGGAAATCCAGAGCTGCAGGCATGGCCCAAGTAGTAGGGGGCTGCTTGCAAGCATAAGGCCACTACAGCCCAAACCAGACAAACCCTCTGTGAGCCGGCACTGTGGTTCAAGAAGTGCAGTGCTGGTCTGGCACGCATGAGGTTCTGGATCCAATCCCCAGTGCTTAAAAAAAAAAACAAAGGAAACAAACCCCTGGAGTCAACTTCAGGAATATCAACATCATCTTCTGCAAAACTAACCAAACCTAATCCTCACTGCCACGGCTGTGAATCAGGAGGAACTTGACTTCTGTGTGGATGGGGACAGCAGCAGGGGATAGAGTATTTCATTCCATTGATCTTGGGGAAATAGAAACAGCCTTGTTACAGAGATACTATGATCATTTGAATTGAATTTACGGTGTGGTTCCACAGAGATAAAAACCTATGGTCACTTGCTCTCACCCCATTATGAGAAAGGGAATTACCTGCCCCACATCAACAAGTAGCAGAATTCCAGGAGTAAGACAAAGATACCTGCTTACAGCAGCAGACCAACAAAGGACAGATAGGTGAAACTCTTCTGTAAAAGCATGTGAGACTTCAATTGGCCTTTAGACTACCCCTCAGGCTTTTCATCTTGATAACAAAACTGGTAATGACAGCAGCTTTCCCTTCCTCCTTTCTCCCTCCCTCTCCTTGCCCCCCCTCCTTCCCTCTCTTTACACACACTGGTCGCACAAGATAAATCTACAACGCAGCTTGGATCTTCAAACACTGGATCATGACACTCTTTTCTAAACATCCTGGCCTTTTGTACCTTCAGAGTCCTTTCCCAAAGGAAATACACTGCCTGGAATTCTACATTATTCCAAGTTCCAGGTGGGAAAATGAGACAGGTGCAGTAACATCTAAGAACACTAGGAACGGCGGTTCTGGAAAGAAGACAATGACTCATATTTTCTCACTTTAATCCTTCTCTATTACTACCACAGTTCAATGTGAAACAAAGCTAATGGGACCGGATTGCACATCCACAGGATGGCTGGAAATGAATAGACTGGCAAAGCAACTAGAACAGAGTTCAGATGGGAACACATAATGCACTATTCTGTTTGTACAGCACTGAAATCACCGTAACACTTAAATACCCCGAATGTTCGAAGTAACACTAAATAATAATAGGTAACGTAGAAATACTGCAACATCTTCAAGTACTTCCTGAATGACCCAAAATTGACAAATGTTGTGTTCAGTCTAACGCCAATCAAGTTTTTCACACAGAACTATATATAATATCCACATTATATAATAATTCATGTAAGATACACATTAATGTTTAATAAACACAGCTCCACACAGCTTTGTTGTTACAGACTAGTGAGCCTGCTGCTCAGGAAGAGAGTTTTAAGAAATTACAGTCTCTGGAAAAATGTGGTCAGATTGTTTGGTCCTATTACTTTGGTCGTCAAAAACCTCTGATTGCTTTAGAAGGTGCTGAAGTCCTCCGACTGTCATCTGCAAAGGACTAACTTGGGTTTGCATCTAAACACATCACAATATAGGGGAGCCATCCAGCATCTGGTCCACCGCCTCATCAGGAGTTTCAGCTCAGCACAGGCCAGCCTTGGACCTGCCTTTGAGCTGGACAGGGCGCCAACCTGACCCCTTCCCAGGACAAAGCATCCTGCCCTCTAGGCTTGGGGACGAGGGGCATTAGTAATGGCATGTGGTGTTCCTTAGCATCACCTGCCAGAAAGTGATGATTTCTTTGGAAGAGAAGCCGTGGGCGGCGATCACACGTCTGAGCTGACAGACATCCAAGTGGATTCTGTACAGAAAGAAGAGATTTGTGTCTTCTGGAATGTGAATGTCCACCTTCAGCAGATTCAAACAGATGCCGACGTACACGTCTTCGAACTTGATGGGTTTGACGTGGCTCATCATTTCGTAGATCCGGGGCACCAGATCCCGAGACATTATGTAACCCAGCCCGCTGCAGTAGGGTGGGAACACCTTGAATGGATACTCCTGGTAGGAAATGTGGGCCTTCTGGTAAAAGCCCCTGTAGGAGTAATTGTCGATCAGAGGATAGCCGGTGAAGAACTTCTCTGATTGGTTCAAGTTCAAGAGGTACTTCACCAAATTGCCAGTGTTGATGAACACATCAGTGTCGGTCTTCATGACGTACCTGGCGGTGGGGCAGAACTCGGTGACCCACCTGAACGCCATGATGGTTTTCAACGTCAGGTTATTATAGGTATCTACGAAGTCCTGCCGGATTATGTCGCCATAGAGCAGGTGTTCATCCTCGAGGGACAGCGTGAACATTTTGTCTTCCTTTTCGGCCTGCTGACCTAACAGGAAGAACGTAAGCACCTCGTGACCCCACCAGGATTTCTTCTCACCCCACGTGACCCGGATGGCCTGTCTGGCCTTCACGTCTGCGGGGTGAGAGGTCACCAGGATGACCAGGAACGGGCTCTGATGAGAGCAGTTGGAGTGCTCACGAAGGGTGAAGCGGAAGTCCTGCCGGTAGAGCGGCTCATACTCGTAGAAGTACATCCAGTTCACGCGCTCGATCACATTGTAGTGGGGCAGGCTGAGGTACCACATCACCAGGAAGCTCAGCAGCGACAGCAGCAGGAGGCTCCATTTGAGCGATCTCAGAGACATCCTGCTGGGGAGGGCAGGAAGGAGAGCTGGGGCCATGTACAGCAGCCAGGAAGCACGGGTTCTGGGAGGTTTGTCAAAGACAGGGTTAGGATTCTGCCTTGCAGCCTCAGATACGTGTCCAGTGGACATCTGATTATCAAGGAGAACCCTAGGAGAACAAGAATACCAAACCCAAACCAAACCTCCTGATAGGATCCTATGTACCCTCCCCAAACCACAGCCAAAGGGCACCAATGCCAAAGATCCCTTGCAGCTTCTAATACGGAGATCAGGGCTAGAGCATTACCTTTCATTTATGCTGTACAAGTAATTGTGCATTACAGAATGTTTTCTCCTAGATGCCTTGAAGGACAGAAAGGGATTATGGTGGGCTTAAAAAGTCAATCAAGCCCATCTGTGATATTCTTGTCTATGGGGGGGGGGGGAAGAAGTGAAGGATTTAATGCAAAGAGATATTACTGGCAATGGGTGCAAAGAAATCCAGACTGGGCTGTGTGATCTGACTAGCAGGCCTAGAGTAAGAGAAATAATTATTTATGATGACAACATTGGGGGGAGACAAAAGTGGACAGTTCAACTGCAGGGCACATCTTTGAGACATAAATCCAATGGCTGTCTCTTTTTGGGGGGGATGGTCGTAGAGCTTAAACTTGGGCTTGGGTGCTGTCCCTGCACTCTTCAGCTCAAGGTGAGCGCTCCACAGCTTGAGCCACAGTGCCACTTCCAGTTTTCTAGTGGTTTATTGGAGATAAGAATCTCACGGACTTTCCTGCCCGGGCTGGCTTTGAACTGTGATCCTCAGATCTCAGCCTCTTGAGTAGCTAGGATTACAGGTGTGAGCCACTGGCACCTGGCTCAATGTCTGTCTCTTGAGAGTTAGATGTCCACAGTAGACACATATTTTAGTGTCCTCCTTTTTTGTAACCCACTGGGTGAACGCAACTCCTAGTCTGGGTGACCAGCGCTTTAATTAAAGGCCATCCTTGGTACTGAGCTTCCATGTTTCTCTGGCTACTCAGTATCAGGGCTTGAACTCAGGGCCTAGGCACTATCCCTTAGCTTTTTACGCCCAAGGCTGGTGCTCTCCCACTTGAGCCAGACATCCACTTCTGACTTTTTGCTGTTAGAGTCTTATAGACTCTCCTGTTCAGGATGCTTTGAACTGTGATTCTCAACTCTCAGACTCCTATGTAGCTAGGTTTACAGGTGTGAGCCACCAGTGCCCTGACAGTAAGCTTGATGAATTATTGTTACCTGAAGAAAAGCACACATTGAAGTCATAAACCTGTCTCTTTTCTTACCTTCTTGAGTTGCTCTCAGTGAGACCTTCGGTTTCACGCAGTGAACAAGAGGCAGTGTGTGACAGTTGAACACAATGCTTGTGATTTCTGAAACAACAGGACTCAGTGTTTAAAACTGAGAAACATCAAAAAATGACAGAAAGAAGGCTGCTATTATTAATTTTAATGTCAGCTGTTTTAAATGAATGACATTTAAAAGGGACAAAGGAGTACTCACTAAAAGAAGAATCTGGCAGGGTGTTGGTGGCTCATGCCTGTAAATCCCTGTAATTGGGAGGCTGAGATCTGAAGAGCATAGTGAGGTGTCAACCCAGGCAGAAAAGTCTATGAGATTCTTATCTCCAATAAACTACTCAGAAAAAGCTATAAGTGGTGCTGTGGCTTTTTATCCAGAACCTTGAGGTTTGGATTTCAATTTCTATGACCATAAACCCTGACACAAGCAGTAAAGCAGGACCAAATCCTAACCATGCACATGCTCAGAGCCTGAGTTACCCACAATAACAACTAATCATGCATGCAGATATGTATTTTATTTTTCATCAAAACATGCTAAGACACTAGAAAATAAATGAAATGAGGAGACAGTGGTTCACATGGAAAGGATCCAGCAAAATACACACAAACAAAAAGCCCAAACTGTAATGGCACAATTTTTTATTTTTGTCGGTCATGGGGCCTGAACTTTGGGCCTGAACACTGTCCCTCAGCAATTCAGCTCAAGGCTAGCACTCTTATCACTTGAGCCAAAGCACCACTTACGGTTTTCTGAGTGGTTTATTGGAGATAGGAGTCTCATGGACTTTCCTGCTCCGGCTTGCTTTGAACCACAATCCTAAGAGCTCTGCCTCCTAAAGTAGGTAGGATTACAGGCGTGAGCCACCAGCGCCCAGCTATGGTACAGTTTTTTTAAACCAAAGTAATTCCTTCCTGGGCTGAACCAATGTTGAATATTTTCTGCAGAAGGAAAGCTAATTTAACTCTTTTAAAATATATGAAACCTTTCTAATTGCAAATTTTTACATATATTCACTACAGAAAAATTAGTAAACACAAAAAGCCCCCAAACAGTAAAAGCTTCAAGATGACAAGGTTAATTTATTTATTTTTTTTTTGGGGGGGGGTGTCTAGTCATGGGGCCTAAACTCTGGGCCTAGGCGCTGTCCCTCAGCTCTTCAGCTCAAGGCTAACGCTCTACCACTTGAGCCACAGCAGCACTTCCTGCTTTTTTTCTGCTTATGTGGTGCTGAGGAATCGAACCCAGGGCCTCATGCATGCAAGGCAAGCGCTCTACCGCTAAGCCACCTTCCCAGCCCCGACAAGGTTAATTTTTGTAAACCCTTTTTTTTTGGTGGTAATGAATGAGCTTTCCCATATTTCTCATTCTGGCCAACTCAGAAGTCATTTACCAGATCAGAATTATGGGAGAGAACTTTCTAGAACACTTGTTTCACGAGGTACTAGGTTTGAACTCAGGGCCACCTGCTCATGCAGTGTGCTTGCTAGCCTGATGCTTTACCATGCCTTCAGCCCAGCTTTTTTCCTGGCTGTATGTGGAGATACAGTCTCATAAACCTTTCCGCCCCAGCTGGCTTTGAAACATCCTTTGGATCGCAGCCTCCTGAGCAGGGGTCACAAGTGTGCTCCACTGAGACCAGCATGACTGTGGGTGCCAGTGCTGGGGTTTGAACTCGGCCTCATACTCTCACTTGGCTTTTTCACTCAAGATTGGCACTCTACCACTTGAGCCACACTTCCACTAGCAGCTTTCTACTAGTTAACTGAAAATAAAGAGGCTCACAGACTTTCCGACCCAGGCTGGCTCCTGAGTCTCTAGGATTACAGGTCTAAACTACTAGCTCCAGCCTGAACTTTTTTTCCCTCAGGGGCACGACTTTGAACTGTGAAAAGTCACACATTAGGCATTTCTAGCAACTACAGCAGAGTTTTAAAAAAAAATGCATAAACTTTTTCCAATACATGAGTGGATATGTGTGTGGCACCTGGCTACTACTTTATTTAAGAACTGTGTGTCTTTCCTTTGGGGAGCACAGCTGAACATACACAGAGACTGAAAAATTACTGACTACATGAACGGCTCTGTTTACACTAACAATGCTTAAGAATGCGAAGTGCTTGACCTATGAACGCAAACGAAGGCTTGACTTGAAGAGCTTCCTCAGCGATTTCAGTGGCAGCCCTGGCGTGATCCTTGCCCAGTAAGACACTTTCCTCCTATTTCCATTTGTGTGATGACTCAATCTTACCAAGTGGCTCTGGCCACGGAGCCCGCAATGTGGCACCCCGGGCCTCAGAGGCGCAGAGCAGCCTGTAGCCCCCTAGGAATCCTCAATCACCCCCCCCCACCTCCACCCCAATGGAGTTAATGTTCATGAATGTATATCCTAAATAATCCTGAGTAAGCCACTGAGGTCCTGTAAATGCAAGTCAACTCTTGGATACAAAAGCAGTGGGTGTGGGAGGCCTCTGCCTTACCCTGTTTTCAGTGGGGTTCCTCCCAGCCAAAGGAAGCCTTAGACAATAGGATGGGCTGCAGAGGAGAACTGGGCACAGAACGGTGCTTCAGAACGATGGAAGGCAATACCTGCTATCCGGTTTCACAACTAGCTGATGAATCACAGCCAGGTTTCCTCTGGGTAAAAGATTTTTTTTTAAATCTTCATCTTGGCCGGGCCAGGTGGCTCACGCCTGTAATCCTAGCCACTCAGGAGGCTGAGATCTGAGGATAACGGTTCAAAGCCAGCCCGGGCAGGAAAGTCTGTGAGACTTTTTTTTTTTTTTTTCTGGGCCTGGGCACTGTCCCTCAGCTCTTCAGCTCAAGGCTAGTGCTCTACCACTTGAGCCACAGTGCCACTTCCTGCTTTTTTCTTTTTGCTTATGTGGTGCTGAGGAATCGAACCCAGGGCCTCATGCATGCAAGGCAAGCGCTCTATCATTGAGCCACCTTCCCAGTCCCCCTTGAGACTCTTATCTCCAATAAACCACTAGAAAACCAGAAGTGGTGCTGTGGCTCAAGAGGTAGAGCACTCCCCTTGAGCTGAAGAGCGCAGGGACAGCATCCAAGCCCCACTACCGACAATAAATAAATAAATAAAAATTCATCTTTTTAGTTTTTTGTTTTTTGATCAGTCCTGGGAATTGAATTCAGGGCCTGGGCTCTATCCCTGAGCTTCTTTTCCTCAAGGCTAGTGCTCTACCACTTGAGCCACAGGTACCACTTAAGGCTTTTTCACAGTAGTTTACTGGAGATAAGAGTCTCACTGACTATACTGCCTGGCTAGCTTCAATCTGTGATCCTTAGATCTCAGCCTCCTAAGTAGCTAGGTGTGAGCCACTGGTGCCCGGGATAAAAAAGTATTCACCTTTTAAGAATGAATCTGAAAGCTAACTATGGGTGGGTCATACCTGTAATCCTAGCTACTCAGGTGGCTGAGACCTGATGATTGCAGTTCAAAACCAGTCCAGACAGGAAAGTCTGTGAGATGCTTATCACCAATTAACCAGCAAAAAACTGAAGGTGGAGCTTGGCTCCACTTTCCCTTGAGGGAAAAAAAAAAAAAAAGCCAAGCAAGAGCGTGAAGCCCTGAGTTCAAGCCCCAGAGGGATCTGAAGTATTCGTTCTCCAGAGAGAACACACTGCTCATTTTCAGCAGTCTGTGCCTACAAGCACCTTCTCACACTACTGTACCGGCAGGCACCTAGCCTCCCACCGCC